CTTTAATTATTTATGATTAATAAAATAATACCGCAAGCGCCTATCCCCACACGACCCAAGGCACTTACTGGTTGCTTTAATTATTTATGATTAATAAAATAATACCGCAAGCGCCTATCCCCACACGACCCAAGGCACTTACTGGTTGCTTTAATTATTTATGATTAATAAAATAATACCGCAAGCGCCTATCCCCACACGACCCAAGGCACTTACTGGTTGCTTTAATTATTTATGATTAATAAAATAATACCGCAAGCGCCTATCCCCACACGACCCAAGGCACTTACTGGTTGCTTTAATTATTTATGATTAATAAAATAATACCGCAAGCGCCTATCCCCACACGACCCAAGGCACTTACTGGTTGCTTTAATTATTTATGATTAATAAAATAATACCGCAAGCGCCTATCCCCACACGACCCAAGGCACTTACTGGTTGCTTTAATTATTTATGATTAATAAAATAATACCGCAAGCGCCTATCCCCACACGACCCAAGGCACTTACTGGTTGCTTTAATTATTTATGATTAATAAAATAATACCGCAAGCGCCTATCCCCACACGACCCAAGGCACTTACTGGTTGCTTTAATTATTTATGATTAATAAAATAATACCGCAAGCGCCTATCCCCACACGACCCAAGGCACTTACTGGTTGCTTTAATTATTTATGATTAATAAAATAATACCGCAAGCGCCTATCCCCACACGACCCAAGGCACTTACTGGTTGCTTTAATTATTTATGATTAATAAAATAATACCGCAAGCGCCTATCCCCACACGACCCAAGGCACTTACTGGTTGCTTTAATTATTTATGATTAATAAAATAATACCGCAAGCGCCTATCCCCACACGACCCAAGGCACTTACTGGTTGCTTTAATTATTTATGATTAATAAAATAATACCGCAAGCGCCTATCCCCACACGACCCAAGGCACTTACTGGTTGCTTTAATTATTTATGATTAATAAAATAATACCGCAAGCGCCTATCCCCACACGACCCAAGGCACTTACTGGTTGCTTTAATTATTTATGATTAATAAAATAATACCGCAAGCGCCTATCCCCACACGACCCAAGGCACTTACTGGTTGCTTTAATTATTTATGATTAATAAAATAATACCGCAAGCGCCTATCCCCACACGACCCAAGGCACTTACTGGTTGCTTTAATTATTTATGATTAATAAAATAATACCGCAAGCGCCTATCCCCACACGACCCAAGGCACTTACTGGTTGCTTTAATTATTTATGATTAATAAAATAATACCGCAAGCGCCTATCCCCACACGACCCAAGGCACTTACTGGTTGCTTTAATTATTTATGATTAATAAAATAATACCGCAAGCGCCTATCCCCACACGACCCAAGGCACTTACTGGTTGCTTTAATTATTTATGATTAATAAAATAATACCGCAAGCGCCTATCCCCACACGACCCAAGGCACTTACTGGTTGCTTTAATTATTTATGATTAATAAAATAATACCGCAAGCGCCTATCCCCACACGACCCAAGGCACTTACTGGTTGCTTTAATTATTTATGATTAATAAAATAATACCGCAAGCGCCTATCCCCACACGACCCAAGGCACTTACTGGTTGCTTTAATTATTTATGATTAATAAAATAATACCGCAAGCGCCTATCCCCACACGACCCAAGGCACTTACTGGTTGCTTTAATTATTTATGATTAATAAAATAATACCGCAAGCGCCTATCCCCACACGACCCAAGGCACTTACTGGTTGCTTTAATTATTTATGATTAATAAAATAATACCGCAAGCGCCTATCCCCACACGACCCAAGGCACTTACTGGTTGCTTTAATTATTTATGATTAATAAAATAATACCGCAAGCGCCTATCCCCACACGACCCAAGGCACTTACTGGTTGCTTTAATTATTTATGATTAATAAAATAATACCGCAAGCGCCTATCCCCACACGACCCAAGGCACTTACTGGTTGCTTTAATTATTTATGATTAATAAAATAATACCGCAAGCGCCTATCCCCACACGACCCAAGGCACTTACTGGTTGCTTTAATTATTTATGATTAATAAAATAATACCGCAAGCGCCTATCCCCACACGACCCAAGGCACTTACTGGTTGCTTTAATTATTTATGATTAATAAAATAATACCGCAAGCGCCTATCCCCACACGACCCAAGGCACTTACTGGTTGCTTTAATTATTTATGATTAATAAAATAATACCGCAAGCGCCTATCCCCACACGACCCAAGGCACTTACTGGTTGCTTTAATTATTTATGATTAATAAAATAATACCGCAAGCGCCTATCCCCACACGACCCAAGGCACTTACTGGTTGCTTTAATTATTTATGATTAATAAAATAATACCGCAAGCGCCTATCCCCACACGACCCAAGGCACTTACTGGTTGCTTTAATTATTTATGATTAATAAAATAATACCGCAAGCGCCTATCCCCACACGACCCAAGGCACTTACTGGTTGCTTTAATTATTTATTATTAATAAAATAATAACGCAAGCACCTATTTCCACACAACCAGGGGAATTTTCTGGTTGCTTTAATCATTTATAAGTAATAAAATATCACCGCAAAAGCCTATCACCACGCGACCTAAGGCACTTACTCGTTGCTTTAATTATTCATGATTAATAAAATAATACCGCAAGCGCCTATTTCCACACATTCAGGGGAACTTACTGGTTGCTTTAATTAATTATAATTAATTAAATAATACTGCAAGCGCCTATCCCCACATAACCCAAGGCACTTACTAGTTGCTTCAATTATTTGTAATTAATAAAGCAACACCGCAAGCGCCTATTCCCACATGACCCAAGGCACTTACTCGTTACTTCAATTATTTATGATTAATAAAATAATATCGCAAGCGCTTATCCTCACACGACCTAAAGTTTTTACTGGTTGCTTCAATTATTTATAATTAATAAAATAATACCGCAAGCGCCCATTCTGACACGACCCAAGGCACTTACTGGTTGCTTTAATTATTTATAATTAATAAAATAATACCGGAAGCACCTATCTCATACAACCAGAGGGACTTACTGGTTGCTTTAATTATTTGTGATTAATAAAATAATACCGCAAGCGCCTCACCCCACACGACCAAAGGCACTTACAGGTTGCTTTAATTAATTATAATTAATAAAGCAATACCGCAAGCGCCTATTTTCACACGACCCAAAGCAATTACTCGTTGCTTTCATTATTTATGATTAACAAAATCATACCGCAAGCGCCTATCCCCACACGACCCAAGGCACTTACTTCTTGCTTTAATTATTTATGATTAATAAAATAATACCGCAAGCACCTATTTCCACACATTCAGGATAACTTACTGGTCGCTTTAATTATTTATGATTGAGAATATAATAACGCAAGCACCTTTTTTCACACAACCAGGGGATTTTACTGGTTGCTTTAATTAATTAAAATTAATTAAATAATACTGCAAGCGCCTATCCCCACATGACCCAAGGCACTTACCAGTTGCTTTAATTATTTGTAATTAATAAAGCAACACCGCAAGCGCCTTTTCCCACATGACCCAAGGCACTTACTCGTTACTCCAATTATTTATGATTAATCAAATAATACCGCAAGCGCCTATTCCCACACGACCCAAAGCATTTACTGATTGCTTCAATTATTTATAATTAATAAAATAATACCGCATGCGCCTATCCCTACACGACCCAAGGCACTTACTGGTTGCTTTAATTAATTATGATTAATTAGGCAATACCGCTAGCGCCTATTTCCACACGACCCAAGGCACTTTCTGGTTGCTTTAATTATTTAGGTTAAAAAAAATAATACCGCAAGCGCCTATCCCTACATGACCCAAGGCACTTACTGGTAGCTTCAACTATTCACAATTAATAAAATAATACCGCAAGCGCCTATTCACACACGACCCAAGGCACTTACTCGTTGCTTTAATTATTTATTGTGAATAAAATAATAACGCAAGCACCAATCCCGACATAACCCATGGAAGTTTCTTGTTGGTTTGATTATTTATAAATAATAAAAAAATACCGCAAGCGCTTTACCCCACACGACTAAAGGCACTTACTTGTTGCTTTAATTATTTATGATTTTCAAAATGATACCGCAAGCGCCTATCCCTACACGACCTAAGGCACTTACTGGTTGCTTTAATAATTTATGATTAATCAAGCAATACCGCTAGCGCCTATTTCTACACAACCCAAGGCACTTTCTGGTTGCTTTAATTATTTATGTTTAAAAAAATAATACCGCAAGCGCCTATCCCTACATGACTCAAGGCACTTACTGGTTGCTTTTATTATTTATAATTAATAAAATATCACCGCAAGAGCCTATCACCACGCAACC